CTCTTTCATGTCCTATATCTTGACATGCTTTTTCAAACAAACAAATCATGTTGTTTATGAAAGATCAGATCTCGGGCTATCTTCCTATGCATTTATCTCGATTTTTTTTCATGAAAATTGAATTTTTTTGAGGGACGTAGCCTTAAGTTTCAAACTATCAGCGGTTCATTGTTGGTCTACCGGTGATTTTTGTTCAGTTTGAATTTTATGGATTGTATCAGATATTGAATCGATTTAAAATCCGAACCGAACGGTAATCAGTATCAGTTTCATCTCCGAGTCGTATGTAGAATATGTGAAAAATTCTAGAGTTTCATAACAAATTTTGTCGTCTAGTTCAAAAATGATAAATTCCTGTTGACTACATTATACATTGGATCTTGCCTATCTTAAACATTTTGGAAGTAATATCTCATCTTGCGATATAAAATACTATGTCAAATGACCTAATCAGTACGACTAGTTGTAATTCTAAACACAAAACTAGTCTGTCTCAGAGTTCTTCCGTTCAATTGTTTGAACTTTTGACGCACTGTGTAATCAGTAAATATCTTGAGATGAATATAACTTGATCTGCAACGGAAGAACAACACGTATCCTTTGTTGATTCTATGTCGTAATTTTATAATTTTTAGATAAATTTTTTTTGTCATTTCTAAATCAATCTTCTGAATTATATATTACTTTTTTAATTTTCAGGATTTATTAACAAAACATAAATCTTTATGTGCAGATTTTCTCGAACAAAATTATGATCAATTTTTTACTAAATATCGTGATTTACTTAATTCAGATAATTATGTCACACGTCGACAATCTTTAAAAGTAAGTACAATTAAAAATTTCTATATTTATTTATTTAATAAATTCTTATATATTCAATATTATAAATTTTAGTTACTTGGTGAATTATTACTTGATCGTTATAATTTTTCAATAATGACAAAATATATAACAAACCCTGATAATCTCAAACAACAAATGAATTTTTTAAAAGAAAAAAGTAAAAATATTCAATTTGAAGCATTTCATGTTTTTAAGGTAAAATTAGTTATTTTTAATTTTTGAATTAATATTTATTTATTTTATAGATATTTGTTGCAAATCCAACTAAACCTAAAGCAATTACTGATATTCTTCTTCGTAATCAAGAAAAATTAATCGATTTTCTAACTACTTTCCATGCAGATCGTAAGTTTCTTCTTTTTTTTTTTTTTTTGTATTTTCACATATGTTGATCAATGAAACTATTTTAATAGGTACAGACGACGAACAGTTCAATGACGAAAAAGCTTATTTAATCAAACAAATCACTGAATTAAAAGACATCAAAGTTTAACATCAAAAACAATTTTTCTTCTTTGTTCATCTATGTGTCATATGTATATATTCCTATTTCTTTTTTTCTTTCTTATTGCTCATAGTATACACAGATGCATAAACTTCCCTTTTATTATCCTTGAAAACAAACTTGTGAATACGCCTTTTTTTCTGTCTGTCTTTCACTGATGATTTGTAAAATTGAGATTCTTCGTTATGCTATCAATCGTTTTTTTTTGTTCGTTTGTTTATATTATCTTAATGATGTCTGCTTCTTTATCAACCATGTTGAACTGATATACGTATTAGTGCAACATGTCATTCTTCCTGTATTCCTATTGTAGTTTAATACAGTGTAGACGTACAAGATTAGGTTATTACATAGTACGAGAAAGAAGAAACAAAAACTTCGTGAGTAACTAAACAATTGTGCAATCAATCAATTGAATAAAAATAAAAATCAACAATAATTAATGATGAATTATTGATTTTTAACTTTACATGTACTAAAAAAAGCCAGTAATTTCCATTTTCACTGAAAGAATTTATAACCAAAAACACTTCTGCATCAAATATAATCTATTGTATATTTATAACAGTTTATTATCAAATCGATTGAATTTGTTGCTTGATAAAAAAACAGATGATACTAGAAGAAGATTTCACATCTGAGTTTAACTATTGAATCTTCAACAGAATATAAAGACTAATACGGTTAGAAGTCTTTTAGATAAAAATTAAGACAGATGAAACCTTCTTCTAGTGGCATCAGTTTTTGATCAAGCAGCAGATTTAATCGATTTGATAATAAATTAATTCATAGGGTACTAGAAAAATTTTTTCTGCATTATCACTAACGACAATAGTTTTATCACAATGATAAAAATATAATAGAATAATCGAGAGTACGATCCTTACAAACTAAATCATGAACAACGAAGGTTTATCAAAACAACAGGTTAGACCAACGAATTGTGCTAGGTTTTCTTTACAAAGTCTAGTTTAACTAAGTCCATCCCATAGGATCTAGTAGATGGAAGTTAGCCTATCAATAATTACCTAACACATATGTTCAAAACTATAGAATAACTTAATAGAAGGCCAGTCTTTGACGTCTCAAGTTTCACTATAAAAATACAAGACCACAGAAAGTCTGAGTTACAAAAGATTTTCTGATATAGAATTGTATCGTATTATATCTAGATTTAAACACGAACTAAATGCAATTGAAATTAATAACGACAATACAATGTAACATGTATTAGAACAAATCATTACTCTTCTCATGAAAGAAAGTTTTATTGATATTCCAAGATTAGATTAGAAGTTCATGTCAATATTTTCAAACTTGAGACATCGTATAGTAATTATTTCAATTGAATATATTTTATAGTCACATTCAATTTTTGATTGAATACATTCGCTTACGGCCATACCACGTTGAATACACCAGTTCTCGTCCGATCACTGAAGTTAAGCAACGTCGGGCTCGGTTAGTACTTGGATGGGTGACCGCCTGGGAATACCGAGTGTCGTAAGCTTTTTATTACTGCTATCGTTATTTTTCCTATCATTTTAAAAAGTAATATCCTATATAGAATTTTTGAACTTGATTCATGCTGCTACATCTTGATTAGGTTTAAATAATAAGTCAAATAATATTCATTGAATATACAAATTTCACAATTGAAGATAGAAATATTTTTAATCAAAATAGCTTATTTTTCTCTAGAGATGATAATGACAGGAGATGCTCGTCAACTAATCCATGTCATTTTTGCTGACACTTTGCATACATATAGAAGAACTTATTGTATGAAAAAACTTAAGAGGATTTAGATTACTGCAACTTCTTGCAACACATTAAAATATATTCATTCTTTCATAAAAAAAAAGAGAAATCATATGAAAATCGCTCTAGGTTCCAACAAGCAACAACTCTGTACCATGAACAAAAGTAGAATTGAATGGGACTAAGAAAATATTTAAAGGATACTTCCCTGTCAACCTCTAATAAAATATAACAACCATTTCACTGAATTATGAATCTATAGGCAGGGTTTTTTTCTTTGAAAAAAATCGGTGAAAGAATTTCAATCTGAAATTTTACCATTAGGTAAGCCTACTTTATAACTAGAATGTTCTCTTCGCGAGATATTGAATTCTCAAAAAAAATATGAGATTCTCGAATCTTTTATGAGAATATGAGGGATTTTTGGTTATTCAATATCGTGTGAAAGAACATTCTTGTGAGCTTAAATTTTTATGACATTTTAGTTACAAATAGGCTTATCTATAGGCAGATTTTCAGGTCAAAATATCTTCATTCAATTCTTTTATACTTACCGTGCTGTAGATTAAAATTTCAGTAAAACGGCTGTATATTCATAGGGAAGGTCTAGGAGCTCTTTCTCCTTTTGAAATTTTCAATATCTCATAGGTATCTATCTTATGCATAGAGTTCGAATTCGAAAGCAATTTTCAAATTGGAAAGGTTCCGCGTTAAAAATATCATGTAAGCTTCCATCAAAATAAATGTTCATTTTCCGTATTCGGGCAACTCTCCCATGAGTTAACCGAGTTTTATTGATATAACATCTGTCTTCATATCAAAATGAAAATATTTATCTCGATCGAAAGAAACCGCATTGCTTCACATCCTCGTAGCCTGTTTCTTAGAATAAGATCCCTGACATGTACGCAAAATATCAGCGAAAATCGTCAGGACAAGTTAAGAAGCTTTTCTTGTAAGAATCTATGGATATTTTTTTAAATACAATCATAATCTATCAGTATTAATAATCATTTTTTATTGATCATTGAAAAAGAAGATAATGTTTAATTTTAAACTACAAAAAAATAAAAGTTAGACAATAGCTTAGATAAACGCACACTATAACAGAATAGATAATATTATTATATTTATTTATAATTTGAACATGAGACAAGTATGAAAAATTTTCTATGCATTTATACCCAAAAAGCTATAACAATCTTTTAAGATACAAGAACATCTTGAATTCTTTATATCATAAAACACAATGTACAAAACTATCATTGTTTTTAGAATTTTGTTTTCTTCTTAATTATTTTCATCTATTGCATTGTTTTGACATATTCTTGCAGAAGAGTTTACTGATTCAGTTATGCAAACTGATGTGAGAAAAATATTACAAAGCAGCGGAGTCATTAAATGATAAAATCAAATGTCAAGAGTCGAATGCCGTTTGAATTAGACAGTTCGAATCTATTCTGACTGTGCACACCTAACTCAAAACTCAATATTATCAGCGCAATAGTGTTATTTTGTAGAGCTTTGCAAAAACCTATCGAATGATATATAATTCAAAGTGAATCGTTGCTTTTACAACTCAATAGTAAGAGAATTTTGTCATGACTATCATTATATTGTACGTACAGGTGAACAATGTCATAAAAAAGGAAAAGGGAAGGAAAAATATTTTGTCATACTTCTATATGTCATTGGATATATAATTCAAATTAAATGAGTTGAATACATGAAGAAAACTTTTCATAGAAAATTACATAAAATAAATCGATGAAGGATAGATAATATTGAGTTTTAAATCAGGTACGCACAACTAGAAAGAGATTTAACTGTTGAATTCAAACGTCATTCCATTCTTGATATCTGAATTAAGTATTTAGAAAATAAGAAAATTTAATCTTGACAAGAGACTAATTCCACTACTTAACGATCTTCTTCCATTAGTTTTATTTTTTTGACAGTCTAAAACAGATCTTTTAATGTCATTATTAACTTTTTAAACTCAAAACAAAAATTGTCTAGTAATTAGACCTTTCATGTCACACTATTTCATCTCTTGACATTTACATAATTATAGGGGGAAAAAAATTAATCAAATGTTGACTTGTATATTTTCGATGTGCGTATAGCAAGGGAGTTGATTATTTAAGTTATTAAGAGAATATATGAGAATTTCTTCTTAATAAAGAAAAGAAGAAAAATATATATTTTTTTTTGCTCATATTTCTTTTTGTCTTATTTGTCAGAAAAAGAAAAATCTACAAAGTCTATTCATCTCTTTTTTTTTTTCATACCTTCACAGTGAGCGTGTGTCACGGAATAGTTTTGAGCAGAAGCATTTATCAATGACAAGTAATTCTTGTCAAATATTATTATCTCATTTCATTTCTTATCCATTTCCACATACAACACATTCATTAATTCTTTTTCTTTTACTTTCCTACCTCAACACATCTATATCTTTTCATCAATTATGATTTCAACAACGTTTTATCATTTTAAATGTAATTCAATATGATCTTAGATAAATTAAAATATTATTTTCTTTTTTTTGTTTTTGTTTTTATTTTTATAGTAATAATTGGTCTTGTACTTTTATGTGCATTAATTCAAATAAGTGACACTCGACCTACCTTGATTGATGATGAACAAGGTCCAAGTCAAGTTGATCATTCATTCATTAATAATTATGGTGATATCAATGAACGATTGCATGATGAAATTCCACTCGAAGATTTTTATAATCTTAAAAATCTATTCGACTATGATAATGTTCAAATGGCTAAACGTTTAATTATGTTACCTCGTGTTGGTCGTCGTTCAATTCGATCAACATAATATTAAACTGCTGTTGAATTCTGTATTTAAATTCAGAAGGAACGGTTTAAATCAAATAAAAATAAATATCAAAAAAATTTTAATTTTATTTGAAAATAAAAAGAGGAGAGGGACTGTCAATAAGCAACGAAATCAACGTCCTTTAGAGGGCAGCTGCTGTTCAAATTAAATAGTTACATCTTATTTTCTAACTGCATGCAATTTGAGACAAAAATTGATAGTATGTATGTGATACAATGTTTCTATCAAAAGTTTTGTTTTTCTCATCTTCAATTTGAATCATATATCAAATGAAAATTCTTTCTTTTTTCTACCGAAGGACATAGAGCAACCTATGACAAAATATTTTTCTTTTTCATGATATTCTTTGCTTGTATGCACAGGATGCATAAAAACCTAATTTAATCTATGTAGGCGACAAAATCTTTTGACAACTTTTATTGTCATCTAAAAATTCAACTATAATCCTCTTTAAGGTTACGTCGAAGAATAAAATCAGTTGAGACATTGTTTTTATCATTTATTTATATGCCATTTTGGATTTTTCTAGCATTTTGCAAAATTTGAACATGTCTTTTTACAATAACACTCATGTTTCGACATAACCCTGACGAGGACGGGGACTGGATTTTAATGTGAAAAATAAAAGTTGTTGGAAGAGATTGTGACATATATTAATCATATTCAATTTTGTATGCTGATTCCAAATATATCATTTGTTTTGATGGGAAACTTGATTATTCCAACTGAATTTTGTCAAATGTCAGTTGATAAAGACAACTTTTGATACCCCGGAACATTGTGTGTTCCGCTAAAGTGTCGTACCTACAAATTAACCACAGCGCAATAATCTTATATTGTAGAAATTTGAAAAGCCTACTAAACAATATATAGTTCTAATTGGATCACCGGTTTCACAGCTCAAGGACGGGAAAGTTTTGTTATAATCTTCCTCATATCATGCAAGAAAGAAAGATTCTTCATTTCATCTATAAGTTAAGTGGTCCATATAAACAGTGTATAGTATAACACTATAATAGATCGATAATATCGAGTTTTGAGTCAATTGCGCGCATCTACAATAGAATCTACCGGTTTAAATCGAACGACAATTGACTATTGAGAAAATAAGAAACTTAATTTCGAAAAAGGATCAATTTCATTACTTAATAATTCCATTCCTTTTTCTCAACCAATAATTGCTGATCTTTCAATAATAATCGAAAAATAAAAAAAGCTAAAGTATCGATTTAATTATTTAGATTCGACAAAGAAAAAAAAATGAGATCGAGTATCAAACACAATGAAGTTTTACATAGAAAATAGGACTTTGATTAACACGAAAAGCATTCATATATGGATCAATATCTTCGTTAATTGATCCATCTCGAAATGAACCTATCAAGATCTGCATTCTATTATTCTTACTACTGTAATTATTAAAATAAATGTACCAATAAGAGTATGGGTGTAGATTAGGTAATTACTGACACCCGCAGACAAATATCCTTATTGTACATTGTTCAAAGTGAAACATAATTAGAATAAAAATGAATCCAAATGTCAATAAAAGATTGATAATTTTCACGTAGTGAATTCTTGTATATTTTGAATGCGATTTAAAATCACTTATGTCTTTTTGTAATTAGAACTAAAGCATCGCTCATGCCTACAAAGAAATACCTGTAAAAATTGTGGTAAAATTTCTATGAGTCTCTGTTCATTACAGTTGCTCAATTCAATTGATTTTTGAGAGTATTGATAGTCTTCTCAAACTAATATCTTGCGAGCCAACTGGATCGATAACAATTGCTTTTCTATGAATATTGGTTCGATAGAAGAATGACCTTGTTTTCATTCATGTGTAAGTAATCAGGTTAAAACCAGTATATATGATACGGCGCACATCTGATTATTAATCAATACCTTCCTCCCACCACTATCACTAAACACTCACATCTACACATACATTCACACATCTCACACCGTCTAACATTGGTTCACACATTCCTATTGTGTATCCAATACATCTTCGTTTTCTGTAGCCTATTTAAAAATACAAGCGTTCATCTTATTGTTCGTGATCGTTGAAGTTCTGATTAATTCTTGCCGGTAATTATTGTTCTTTATCTTTAGATTCGTGCTCTTCATCACGATCATCTACAGAACTAAAACACTTTTATCCTCATCAATACCATAGGTTTTTACCCAAAAAGCCAAATCTTCCAATGAATTTTGTTGAGTAGTGATGTTCGAGATAAGTTCATCATAGATTGGTTCGATTTCCAGTACATAATTTCGCACATGCATCATCTGAGTAAATACCAGGAGAATCTCTTGACTTTGTTCCAGATGTTGTTTTTCAATTTGCTGACATTGAGAAAAGATCTCTTTCGATATATTTCTTTGGTGTTCGCATAAATTTCTTCATCATTTACCATTTTCACTTCGAGTCTCTTCAATTCAGTGTCGTATTTAGTTTTGAGTGATTGATTATTCCATGCAACGGATTTGATCATGTAATTTGTCGAGATTTGTCTTCCCATTGACTACAGAAATATGAACATACTTGAAGAGTTTTTTGAATTCATGATATTGGTAATGTTCATAACGACATATGCATGTAAGTCTTATGAATAAGTCGTTGATGATTGTCAATTATGGCTTGCAAAGCATTGGAACGATTATCATCAATACGCACAAGATCCTGTGTCGTGAGAATCGTCACAAGTTTGGCGATTCTCCAAAAAACCGGTGTAATATCGTGATTAATCATCTTTTGCTAAAAAATTGATGATTAAATCGGATTTTACTGCAATTATGATACAAGAAATGATTTTCGAAAACCGTCGATAAATCAAAGTGATAAATCGTGTTTAAATACTGATTCCTGTAATTGATGGTAAAATATGAATTAATTAGAGAAATATTTCAATATTCATAAAGTTTAGAGTAAGACATAATTTCTGTGCAATTTTCTAATATAATCAATCAGATTTAAATAGGCAAGAAAAAATTTACTTGCAGTGTAGGTGCCACTACTGTGATATGAACAACATTGAATAATTTTAAAAAACGATCAAATGAAATTTCTCATTTACAATGATTTTTTAAAAACATTTCCTTTTGATAATTAATACCTGGTTTGTTTCAGATATGTCTTCAAATCAAGCATTTTCTTTCAACTAGATTCCAGTTTGTCGTAGATTCAGTTTTAAATGATACTATCAATCTCCACCTAATGTAAAATTGAATAATTCTTTTGTAGGATAATGTATTTTATTGTCGTCGTCATATATAGTTCTGCATTTTATTTAGAATTTTTATTCGTTTTCTTTCTTTAGATTTTTTGATTTTTGTACAAAAACAAATATGCAAAATGTTTTCTAGGAAAATTTTATTTAATATCGATTTTTACATACGAACATCTTATTATTTATCTTTTTTTTTTCCAAATCTAATCTCATCTAACTACGTAAAATTGTGTGTTGCTTTATTGTTTTCACTTTTGCTACGCATATTCTCCTCATGTACCATCACATAAGTACTTTATTTTTCAATAAAAATACTCGTTAATTAAAATTAATAATAACAGATTTTGAATATAACAATAAAAATGAAATTCACATGAATAAAACCGCATATATTATGGATGTAATACAGAAAAAAAAATTGATTTCCAAATCACGATTAATCACAGAAATCGCCAATTTTTCAGCGATTTTGAGAATATGAGATGTCTTGCAATACAAATCCTATTGATCCGAGCATGTTTAGTTGTATAATACGATGAAATCATTAGCTAATTTTTGAGGTATTTGATCCATTTTCGACTGAATAATAGGAGATTTTGAGCACGATTTCGATCGATTTTACAATAATCTTCCATCATACGAATCAAATTTTGAGTAATATCATAACCTAAAACTTAATAAATCAAAACGAACGCTATGAAAATTTACTAAAATAAGAAAGAAAAACAAACACTGGTCACCATTCATACTTTCATTAGCGGCTCGAAAAATTTTCATCATCAGAAAAATCATTGTTTACATAGAGATCAAGTCAATCATGTTCTATTTGGATACTGTTCCAAGCATTGAAGACTACCATCTCTTCCGAACCAATACAAGCACCCAGATTGATCGAAGTATTGACTTTACATATCATCATACTTTCGAATTTATTATTAATTGAATAATAACAATGCTATTTTTCGTCGACAATTAAAGTCGATTGTCAATGGAGAATGACATAATGGGAAAGTGAGATGAATTTACAACACCACTTGCACTTATAGATAGTCCACCTACTTTTTTTCTTCTTAATGTAGAAAAAAATGGGTGGGTATGGGTGTGAATGAAGAGAAGACTCACACCCACGCAATAACATTGGATAAAGAGTATTCCTACTTTTATGCTTTCAGCAAATATATTATTATTATTCATTTGTTAGTTAGTAGACACGTGGTTTATTGAAATTCGAATTTTTTATTTGTCATTGATCTTATGTAAGTATCATTTTAAAAATTGTTGTAATTTATGCTTCACCGAAACTGATAAAAAAAGATGAAAATCAAATGATGTTTTGATATATATTCAGTATGAAACGAAGTAAGTGATAAGTAGCGCACATCCAAAGATTCGCTCAACTTTTTCTGGAAGAAAGGATTTGCATTATTGTAAACTATCCTGTTAAAGGTTCTTAATATTCGTATCCGTGTGGTGTTAATAATCATAGATGGAGGTGCCATTGGTAGATCAATGTTTTTTTTTTCTTTACTAGTATACTGATGACTAATCAGTTTATTTATTCAACTTTATTTTGTAATGAACTTATACCCATTGCTAGTTATATTATGAATTCAGTTAAATTTTAATAATTGTTTGAAAATGTTTAGCATTTTGCTTTTCATAAAAAGTTACAATACCATAAGAAAATCAATTGTTACAAATTCAAGTCGATTTCATTACACTACAACTGAATGCATCATACAACAT